CACACACACACACACACACACACACACACACACACACACACACACACACACAAGTTGCCCCAAAATAGCACAATTAAATCCTGTCTGAAAATCAGAATCTCACTCCGATGCCTCATGGAAAAAGATGAATTTTTAGTTGCAATCTTATTAAAATGTAATCAGTGTTCGCAGCCAGTCAGCTGTGCGGCCCCATTTTCTTAAATGAAGGCCTATTTTTTGTTTGCACAGATTAAAAACTGCAGCCGTAAAATAGRAGTTCAAAATCCCCACAACACAGAAATTTGCATATTTGGACACAAGGACACAGTTTGAATCATGACGGATTAACAAAATGATAAAATCATTACATGACACTTTTATCTCATCCTCCAGGGTCTCAGTAAGAAGCTTGGGCTTTCCTCCTCTGTTCTTCAGGGGCTGTGGTTGTCCTACAGCACAGCTAGCCTTAGTCCAGTTCTGACGTCTCTGCGGAACCTCTACACCCCCAACATTAAGGTACCACACCACGAGCATGTGCTTCTTAGTGCACATGTTGACGAGCTGAAGACCGAAGCTCAGATCTGTTCTTGTCCAGGTGAGCAGGCTGCTGGTTCTGGGCGGAGCCGATGTGGATTATCGGACCGACGTCCTCGGCAACGCTCCCCTTCTGTGTGTCCACGCTCACCTGGGCCACACTGATGTTGTGGCGCTGTTGCTCGACCACGGAGCTCAGGTGATCAGAGCAAATATTTTCTGAGATCTGTGAGGATTGGGTCTACAAAAGTATTTGCATATGTGATATTAGTTTTGCTTTGTTACTTTTAAATATTGAGGTAAATTGATTTTCGCTTTCATTTTAAGTATTAGACCTACACAATATATTTTCTAATGTAGTTAAATACGTGGCAAAATTTAAATAATTATTAAAAAGATCAAATCGGTGCATGCATATCAACCCCTTTGCTTTGGAGCTCCGGCCATATATTCAGAGGCCACAATGTCAAAGAGGAATCAATGATCTCAGTATGTATCTGTCTACTCTCTATAGATAAATACCTATATCTACTTGGATAGACACTAGAATTACACCATTAAGTAGTAAAGGCTACAGCCAAGCAAGAAAACATGAAACCAAAGAACTCTTCTTACAAAACAAACATCAGGGATGGCCACCAAAATGTCCCGGAACCCCTGAACATCCAGAGGTGGGTAGAGTACTCAAATGTTGTACTCAAATAAAAGTAGCGGTACTTCCAACACAGTTTTACTCAAGTAAAAGTAAAAATTAGCCATCCAAGGAATTATTCAAGTAAGAGAAAAAAGGATTTTATAAAAAGTTGATTACTGAGTCATAATGTCTGATTTATTATTTTAAAATGATGTCATCAGGCTGATATAAAATAGAAAGTTATGTGCAAATTCTAGTGTTTTTAAGACTAAAATGAAGAAAATTATTAAAAAGAAATAATTACTAAAAAAGAAATCATAAGGAAATTTATAAAACAGGATAAAGGCTTTCCAGTGACTATATCAACTGTTTACCATATTCACTTGACCTTCAAATGTCTCAGCAGGCTCAGCATTAGAAAACAAAGCGTGTGTACAAACAAGAGGTCTCACTTCAACATAAACTGTAGGGTATGGAAAGCCTTCGGGGCCAAATATGCACACACATTTCACGTGACTTTGACGCACAAATGACTCGAAGACAACATGTAAAATATGTGATGTTTACGCGTCAAGTTTAGTGGGTGTTTCTCTTTGCTGCATATCTGGTTAAAACGTGTTTGTTCTTCATTCAGTAAAGTTGCTTACGGTGGGTAGAGTATTCAGAAATTTTACTCAAGTAAGGGTAGTGATACCAAAATAGAGCTGGGCGATATGATCAAAATTTTATATCACGGTATTTTCAACATTTTCACCGGTTTCACGGTATTTGACAGTATTTTTCTTTTCATCACAGCTCAGCTGATAATAAAATGTACAAACCCTGCTTATTGAGGTTTTTTTTCTTTTACTCTACCTCTGTCTGTGTCACTGTTTCCCTCCTCTGTGTCTGTTCTTCTCTGACTGGTGGTTGGAGACAGTAGTCATGCATTTTGGTCCAGTCGTGAAGGAGGAGGGTTAAGAAAAGATTATGATCGGGTTTATTGTTTTACGTTATTTATTAAAGCTTATCAGCACGACTCACCTTGCACACCAGTCAATTCTAACTCCACTACGAACTACTTCCTGCAGGCTTTTCACAATAGAACCACGTTAAGTCTCCATCAGCATAACGTCTCCATATTAACTAACCGCGTTAAATCTAACTGTGCACGTCACTGAAGAGGTGTTTACTACATTCAGCGATGGCGAAAACGGGATGTTTTTTTAAACGTCAATCAATATAAGCAGCGGAATCGCCACCCGCTGCTGCAACTAGCTGCTCCAAACATTAGCATGCTAACACACACAGCGGTGCAGCAAGGAAAAATGTCCCCCGGGAAACAACAGTTCACTGGCGGCCGTGATGAAACATTCCGCTATTTAAACCAGTATGTCCGGTATTCAAAAAATTCATATCATAACAAAAATAAAAACCGGTATTCGGTACAAAACGGTATACCCCCCAGCACTACTTCAAAAGTACAATTTTGTAAAACTCATCCTAAAAGTGCATTTTTGGGTCATCCACTAAAACCTTGTAGGTTAAGAAAAAATAATGAGAGAAATATCCAGTAGGGCAGAGATAACTCTGAGATTAGTGTCTATCCAGAGGACCACTGGAAGCAGCACTGAGCTGCGCTGTAGCAACGTGCTGTGTCCAGATGAACTTTTTTATCTATCAAAGACACCATGTCTTGTTCAAACTTACAATAACACTATCCCACAGTGAAAAGCACGGTGGTGTCAGCATTATGTCTGGTGGTATTTTTCATCTGAGAAACTGGTCAGAAGTAAAAGAGCGACGGATGTAACAAAATACAGAGAATAAGGAAAAAAACAATTGGACATTTATTCTGTAGTGGACGATGTTCTGGTTCCCATTCTTTGATCTGTTAAAAAAAAACTCAAGAATGCAGAGTTCAGAGCTTTTTAACCTGCATGAGAAGCTTTATTATGTAAGATAGACTCACATGCAGATAAAACTCAGTCCCCTCACAATAAAGGGTCATTAGGGTCTTTGTTTGACAGGTTAAAATAAAAATGTTTTGGTCACGTGCCTGACGGTGTGAATAAGACTGATAATGACTGGGTATCAGGCTTTATGGCCCATTTGAATTTTTAGAAAGCTGAAATCTGAGGTGAAAGTCAGGTTTATTCTTTCCAAAAAAACATCCCGGTACGTTTTAAACACCAGTGTGGTGTCTGCAGTTCAGTGCAGTGAGGAACGTTCAGAGCTCAATGTTAGAGAAACTAAACAACTTCTTCATGACTCAACACAGGAGAGTAGCTCCCCAGGACAAGATTCCTCACTCGTGTTATTATTGAGAAAGCTGGCCAAGTTGGAAACAAAGTGTCTTTAGCTACAGAATAGAAATCTAATTGTTTCGTTTCTAAATTATTTTTATATATTTATTTGGTTTAACCCTTGATTTTTTTTTCCTCTATGAGTAAGAAGCTACACTAAAATAAAGACAAAATTTTGAAGGAACCAGTTTGAGTCTTCCAGAGAGCTGAGACTGAGGAGGAGGTCCAAAGACCCTGAACTAGGCCTGTCGCGATAGTCAATAAATCAATTAATTGCACGATAACTTTTTTTGAGGTCGGTTAAAAAAAAAGACAGCGATAAGTTTCATTTTCCTGCTTGTTTTTTTCCGTCGTCTCTCTCCCTCTCTCTGCTCCGCTACACAGGAGCGCAACTGACCCCTCCCCTCCTGTTTTCTTAGTGTGGGAGGAGTCAACTCTCGCTTTAGCATGATAGCTCGTTGCTAAATAAACGCTTCAAAGCAGAATGCGGCTGCTGAAGTGTCGGGGCACTAGAGCCTGGATTTCGCTGCAGAGGGAGGGAGGGAGAGAGACAGAGAGAGAGAGAGAGAGAGAGAGAGAGAGAGAGAGAGAGAGAGAGAGACAGAGAGAGAGAAGGAGGAGAAGGGGTGGGGGC